GGGGCAGCCTCAACACTGGGGCCCGGGCCAGACTCTCAGCTTTGGGGAAATTACCTCCGGGATGTTGTTGTTATTGACGGGCCCATTGAGATCGGAGCGCTGCTGCTTCCTCGGCTGCTCCACACCGTTGCAGACCTGGGAAGAGACAAAGGAAAGATGGGTTTTTATAGGTCAGAAAAATAAACCACAGCGCAATACGATACAACCTGCGTGGGCACGCAGGAGGGAGTGTGCATGTGCACGTGTGCACGCAGACACAAATTCACTCAACTTTAATTCAAACGTAAGCTTTTATACTTCTAAAATGTTATTGGACTCATATTTTCTAATTTCATTAATTTATTAGTGATTTCAGAGCCAGGAAGGGACCAGAAGAGAGAGAGAGAGACATCGATGAGAGACGTGGAGCGGCTGCCTCCCGTGTGCCCCTNCAACTTTAATTCAAACGTAAGCTTTTATACTTCTAAAATGTTATTGGACTCATATTTTCTAATTTCATTAATTTATTAGTGATTTCAGAGCCAGGAAGGGACCAGAAGAGAGAGAGAGAGACATCGATGAGAGACGTGGAGCGGCTGCCTCCCGCGCGCCCNGACATCGATGAGAGACGTGGAGCGGCTGCCTCCCGTGTGCCCCTGCTGGGCATCAGGCCCACACCCCGGGCAGGTGTCCTGACCGGGAGTCGAACCGGCGACCCCCCGGTACACGGGTCGACGCCCAACCGAGCCCCACGGGCCCGGCTTCATCAACTTATTATTTTTAATTGGGGTAAAACACCCATAAAATTTACCCTCTGAACCGTTTTTAAGTGGCACCGAGGACATTCGCACCGTTGCGGGGCCCTCGCCACCACCCATTCCAGAGCTTCCTCACATCCCCAGCTGAATCTCCGCCCCATTAAACACGAACCCCTTGCTCGCCCCTCCCGCGGCCCCTAGAAATCCCCAGGCGTCTCCATCAGCCTGGCGACCCCGGGAGCCCTGTGGAAGCGGAGTCAGGCGGGATGTGTCCTTTTGCGTCTGGCTTGCTTCACGCTGCGTAACGGCCTCGAGGCCCGCGTGCTGTGGCTCGTGTCAGGATTCCCGTCCTGCGAAGGCTGAGTCACGTGCCATCGCGTGGGCAGATCACATCGCGTCTGTCACCTGTCGCTGGGCACCTGGAGGGACGCCGCTACGGACGGGGGTGTGCGAACCTGCCTCAGAGCCCCTGCTCTCGGTTCTTTGGATAAACACCCGGGAGCGGAGCTGCTGGGTCATCCCCACGCCGTCTCCCAGAGCAGCCGCACCAGTTCACATTCCCACCGTGTCCGAGGGTTCACATCGTGCTCCTGAAACGCCGGAACGCTGAGTTTAAGGCAAACGCTAAACTCGAAAATCTAAATCCTTTAGTTAATGCAAATCAGTCCGCTTCCTACTGGAGAAAATAAAATGCCCCAAGGACATGCCGCAAATCTTACAGACGACACCAAAACAGAACGTCTTACTTTAACTAAACACAACTTAAAGCTTAGATATATATTGTCTGTCTATTGCCTTGTACCATCCAGAAGAGGGAAGCCAGGGCCCCGACACTAAAACCACCGTCCAGATCCCACAGGGGGTTCTGGGAAAACAGCGCAAGTCTCGTTCCAGAACTTTCTGGAAATGTGAAGATGACACTGATGACGAGTGACATTTATAAAAAAGTTCACATTTATATTATAAACATACTGTATGTCCTGCTTATTTGTAAACACGTAAGTTAACATTATGTACCACGCGGGGGGACAGCCCATTCCTGCTTTCCAGGCGAGAGAGCTGAGGTGCTAATGGCCAGGTAGGTTCCCACGGCTTAGCACGGTGTCCCTGCCAGTCCTCCTCCCTGTCCTCGACTGTCACTGTCACTGACCCTTAACCCCTCCAGGAGAGTTGGTATGTCCTGGGGTGGGGCTCTCGGGCTCCTCTATGCCCCGCCACCCTTTCAACCCTCCTTCCCCGACGAAAGGGCGCCGATGCCCCTGAGGACCCCCCCAGGGGACCCTGTGCTGACCCAGCTGAGCTGACGGTGCCCCTCCTCAGGGCTGCGCCCGACCTGGGTCTACTCCTGCAAGGGACCCGCTGGAGCCTGGTTTGTTCCCAAACCCCAAGGCAACTCTTCCCAGCGCCCGCTGTCTGCACTTCCCACCGTGGCCGGGTCTCCCGAAAGGCACGACAGGGGCTCCCACCTCACACCATCCCCATTCGCTTTTAATAAAACCGATTCAGGACAGCCCCCAGACTCCCCTCTGGGGTCTTGGCCCCTGGCAATGTCAAGGTCCACGTAGACCGTGACAATATTGTGCCCCCTTGTTTCACCAGATCCGACCTGGTGACAGGTCACCAACTTCCCAAGGCTGAGTTCATGGACCTCCTGCCTGAAGGCCTCACTAGGCGCCGGACAGGCTCCAGGAATCTCCAAACACCCCAAATAAACCAATAGACGGGTCAACACCACCTGCCAGACACTGAGTGCCTGCATCCCCTCCAAGCTCATGTGTTGAAACTAAGCCTTCAAGGTACTGGGAGGTGGGGCCTTGGAAGGGTGATCAGGATTGGATGAGCTCATGAGGGTGGAGCCCCAGGAATGGGATTAGTGCCCTCAGAAGGTGACCCCGGAGGGCTCCTCTGACCCTCCCGCCACGTGAGGCCACAGCGAGAAGACGGCCATCCGCGAACCAGGTCCTCACGAGACACGGGACCTGCCAGCACCCCGACCTTGGACGTCCACCCCCAGGGCAGTGAGAAATGACTTTCCTTTGTGTGCGGGCCGCCCACTCTGTGTTACAGCCTGAAGGGACCAGGACCACACCCTCCTGAGAATGTTCCAGCTCGGGCTGGAGTCTGCCTTTCCCGGCAGAGGGAGCGCCACCGATGTAGGGCGACAGTCTCGCCAGGGTGCCGAACGCACCGGGGACCGGGCTGCACCAGGGAGGAGGCGGCACCGGGAC